AGAAAGAAAGAAAGAAAGAGAGAGAGAAAGAAAGAAAGAAAGAAAGGAAAGAAAGAAAAGAAAAGAGAGAAAGGAAAGAGACAGATCATGTGTCCACCCCCTGCTTTGAAGAGTGCCTTCTTCTAAGAGTGAAAGGGGAGATGAACTCAGCCCCCATCTGTTCCAGATGGCTTCCATCCCAGGTGATTTCTTCTAGAGGGAGAGCACAGTGGCATATGTTCCTAACCCACGCAGGCAATTTGCAGGGCCGCCACGCCCTCTGCCTCCTCCTTCCTGTCTTCTGCAGATTGCAAGCTGAGTGGCTCTGAGCAGAGGCTGGAAGAACAGGGAGCATTTCTCCTTGTGAGGAGGGAAGAAAGAGGAGGCAGCAAGGAAGACCCTCCAGGCAGCCAGCACCCAGCCCCCTTCAGCTTAGCCTTCACCATGGCCAGTGCCTGAGGCCCGGTGTGGTCTTGACCAGGCCTCTCTGCCTCGGGCACTTATCTGTGATAAAGAAGATTCAACCGAAGGAGCCGGGATGTGGGTCCCCTTCGGCTTCCACACCCTATGATGGAGTCATTGCCTTTGTTACCTACATGAGCATAATAGGTTACTGACCACAACTTTTCACAGCAAGGAGTAGGGCACTGGGGACCAGACTGGGAATCAGGGGACCAGACTAGGAATCAGGACACCTGGGACAGGGATCCTGGCTCTGCCACTTGCTGCTGTACAACCTTGAGAAAGTCCTTCACTGCCTCGTACCTGCAGTCTCCTCACCTGTAAAATGTCCTTCCTTCCTCAGAGCTATATCATGAGCACCAATGAGATAACATATGTAAAGAACCCGGCTAAAAACCAAGTTTTTCAAAAGAATGTGTCATCACACAGCAGCAGGTGAAATGTGACGCAGGACATGCATTTGCTAACTGGGGCAGCACTGCCTGTGCAGCCAGGGAATAGCTGGCCTTTCAGGAACCTGCACTTGTAATTGCGGTGACATTTCCAGCAGTAGCAGCCAACTGCCTGGTTGGAGGACACTGAGACAGCCTCTGATCCTCTTTCTACATGAGCACTGAGGCTTGGAGAGGTGGAGTGGCAGTCAGGGACAGGGCTGGGACAGGACCCTGGTCCCCTGATCAAACAGGTCTATTTCCATCTGTGGCAGTAGAAATGCAGATCATAACATAAACCCCACTCAAAGCGCTGGGAGCCCTGGATGGGTGTGAGATGCAGATAACCCCAAACCATTTCTCCTTGACCTTGGCTGCCCACATGATGGAGATTTGCAGTGACATCAGCAGACTTGCCAGCCTGTTCTGTTCAGGCTAATGTTAAAGTGAGCTTGCTTTCCGTGAGCATACACACTGCCGCAGTGGAGAGAAAGGAGGCCAGAGTTATCCAGGGAACGCCAGGCAGGCACTAAGGCATAAGTTAGAGCTGGACACTCCCTGTCCCAGAAGGTTCTATATGGCTTCCACATCCCAGATTCTGCAATCAGAGGTTGTAACCCAGTCCTCCCTCCTGGGCTGGACTCCCTCAACCTTATGGCTTCTGGACTCTCAGCTGGTGACGCTGTCTCCTGGCTTTGTCCCAGGGGGCTGAGGTGACTTTACGTTACCCTGGCTCCTATCATAAACCAAACTCAAAGAAATGGCTCCTCCTTTTCCCTGGCTTCCCTCAAGCCAGAAGCATCAGGGCCAGCAGATCACATCTCGAGCTCCCCCGGGGAGTTAGACAGACCCGGGCTGTATACTGGAAACACTGTGTGGCCTGGGAAAATAAAGCCTGGCCTTCAATTCTCCATGTCCCTATTTGTAATGTGAGTTAATAATGATACCTCCCTCCCAAGACTGTTACCAGGATTACATGAGGAAATGCATGGAAAGCTCCTGACATAGCGACAAGCAGGAGCCATTGTTAGATTTAATGCCACTACTCTTCGGACCAGCCCAGGGTAACACTGGACGGGACAGGGGAGCGTCAGGCCAAGAGAGAGTTCAGTGAGGAAGGAGGAGTTCCCTCCTGCCAGGGTGTTGGGCTGTGAGTCTTCACTAAGGGAAGTTTGTTTGTTTGTTGGAGACAAGGTCTGCTCTGTCTCCTAGGCTAGAGTATAATCGTGTGATCACGGCTCACTGTAGCCTTAAACTTCTGGGTTCAAGCAATCCTCCTGCCTCAGCCTCCAACGTAGCTGGTACCACAGGTGCACACCACCATGCCTGGCTAATTTTTTAGTTTTTTTGTAGAGACAAGGGTCTCACTATGTTGCCCAAATTGATATCTTGAACTACTGGGCTCAAACGATCCTCCTGCCTTGGCATTCCAAACTGCTGAGATTACAGGTGCGAACTACCATTCACAGTCAAAAAAAAATATTAAAATATCAGTTCTCTGAAAGGTTAAATGTGCTGAACATATTCCCATCATCCCAAGATGGCAAAAGAGCAGCAGAATTTGAAAGGAGCTGGCAGAATCCAAAGACAGTAAGCAGAAACAAAACAAAACCAAGGACCAACCCCTTAACAGAGCTTTCTTTATTTTTCTTAATTTTAGTTATTTTTATTTATATATATATAT